CCTTTATTTCTGCTATTAATTGAATAGTATAAACTATTTTAGAGAAACTTGCTTTGCAGCTAGCTCTGCTATAATGCAGCTAATACATTAACCAAGAAATAATGTAAATGGACTGTTAGACACAAATCTAAAACTTGTAGGAGGTTAAGCCTGTATAGGAAAAATGTCCCCCAAATCATGAGTGATCATGTCAACTGTATGATATATATGATACATTTCTGTTCATGGGTTAAGTTTCCTTCAATGTGATTTTGCTCCTTTAAAAATAATTTCTGTTAAATGTGTTTCCAAGATCTAGGGAATTGTGGGCCGTTTCATTCCTTTATCCTTCCCATCATGGGCATTACAAGCAAAATGGATCAAAGACTTTTCTAGGGAATTAATTCCCACTCTAAATGATTTAGGATCACACCTGACAAAACTGTGATGTTATTTGCATTCTACTTTCAGCTTCTTACACAACAAATGAAAAGCAACCACAGTAACATAATCATAAATTATATCCAAGTAAAAATTCACTTTTGTGAAATTTGAAAAACTTGTCTCAAATGCTGGTAAAATGAATAAATTAGTAAGTGGTCATTAAAATAAGTAATGTAAATAAGTAGTAAATAAAAATAATAGTAAATAAAAAATTAACTTGGTCATTAGGTCGTTCACAACAGATGTTCATTAAGTGTTGAATGACTGATTCTAACTGTGAAGTGATTTCGGAATGGAAAGGTAACAAAAATATGAATCCTTAATATTTGTCATTAAAATGCTTGTTTGTTCCTAAAAGTGGGAAGGGACCAGTTTAGGCCTACACTGTGTTCATACTAAAGTTCAGTCAAGGTAGCTTTGAATTAGTTGATTTAAAGCAAGAGAATTTTCCAGCATTGAAGGAGAGAAGGGGATGATATGGGCAGCAAAATGTCTCTGTCTCAAGAACTTTCTGCCCACGGCCAAGCCCCATGGACATGCTATTGAAACAGAAACCACCAAAGATGCTTTCACAAGAGATTTATATGAGAAAGGTGGATTATAAGCAATGCTGTTTGGCACCAAGGTTGTGAGGGGTAATACAGCAAGAGAAAAATGGTCTCTCCACTGGCACACAGCATGATATTTTAACTTCGGCTAATTGAGGCCCCCAGCAGAAGAGCAGGGGAGCACTGGGACCCTCGAGGAAGAAAAGAGGAAAATATTTGGAATTGACCTATAGGGACTGTTGTGGAGATGTATGAATAACTCCTGGGGACCACAGTATTCTTGGATGAGATTTAGGAGAGGGATGTACCTCAGCATACGACTGAAAGAGAGAAAAATGTATCTGTCATCATTAGTTCAATCCCATTTGTCATCATAGGCTGCTGACGATGAATGGTGAAGACTAAGTAAGCACATCGTTTTATTCAAATGTCTGTATTTTACATACAAGAGGTTAATAAAGATAAAAGTACTTTTTGACCAAGATATTCACAGCTGAGATTTAACTGATGACCCTGGCGATTCTAGCCAGAGCTATCTCTACCAGGCATAGGGCTGTAGTGTAAGTTTGTGAACCAACTCATCAGAAAATGTGTTTTATAATACTTCAAGGGTATTTTTACTTTGGACTACAGAAATAACAAAATGATTTCAGATATATAGGAACAAAACCATGGATCATCTAAAGGATTGACTAAACAACTCAGAAGCACAAATAACAAATTACAGTATGTTTGACAGGTGTAATGGCTTTTCATCACTAATCTCTTCCCAAGAAGAGTCATCAGCTCCTTCAAATGCCAATGACACGTTCCACATTCTGGAATGAATCTCCTCTTTCTGCAGCATGTCTAGAGCTGAATCTTTCTTTTTTGGGTCTCACTCTAGTTCTTGACTGGATGGCTCTGGAAGCACTCAGACTGTCTGCATTTTCTCAATATCCAGTCAGCCCAGCATAAGGACTTGCTACCTGCCATCATCTATAGCAAAATAGCTCTTTGTTCCTGCCTTGTTCATAACTGCACAGAGCCCTTGCTTGACCATTGTTCGTTTCTATGATGCCTTAGGTGGGTCCCCCTGTGCTCTCCTTCCTGTATGTTGTTTTACATTTGTTCTTCATTTTGAACTTTGGCTGTAATAAAAAGGGGCCTCTAAAATGACATTCCCTTGGTAATTAAAACCCTTTTCTGGTTTTACAAATTGCTTGCTTTGGAGCATTTGGCAGACTAGTAATAAGACTTAGTATTCCAAATTCTTGCTACTAAAGTGTAGCTCATGGACTACCTCCATCAAACTGTCCTGGGAGCTTCCAGAAATGTGGACAGTGGTACCCCAGAAAGTAGGACCCACATCTACTCAATCAGAATCTGATTTTTACAAACTCTTAGGTGATTTGACTTTCATGAATATTAAAATTTGATAAGCATTGTTTTAAGTGATATTCCATGACCAATTTTGTTTTGCTCCAAATACAAAATTTTTTGTTGAAAATTTAAAACCTAACAATATTCATCCTTTATATAGTAGCCACATTAGAGGTCTTTTGCCAGTCCCTAATTATACTGCTTGAAAGAACACAATCAAGTTGAAAAAATTCAGGCCTGGATCTGTAAGTTCCTCTTCTGTTCCTTCTATTTAATTCTTTGGCAAATATGGCAAACTTTGGAAAGATGAATTTACCAAAATTCATTTACCTGTTACCTATTTCTACCTATCACCACTATCACCACCACTGCAACAGCTAACACTTATGGAACTGTGCCAAGTGCTGTGCTAAGTTCATTTATATTCATATCTAAAAACTCTGTGAAGTAGGCACTATTATCACCATCACAGTGAGCAAGCAAGCTTATTGTTCACAAAAATGTAGTCTCCTTTGAGCTACCCCAAAAGACACTATGAGGAAAATGGAGCCTGGTATTTGTTTAACCTGCATGTTTATCTTTGAGTGCTTTCCTAAATTTACTGCTGAGCACGTTGACATTCTGTATATAAATGATTCCCTATGTCTTATGATTTATTATGACAGCATTACTTATTACACTGGCATTGTATATGTAAACTATTACTTATTCAATATGAACAATAGAAGACCAGTTATGGAAATGAGAAAAAGGCAAAAGGCCTGACTTAATAATAATAAATGAAAATAAAAAACTGTACAGGAGAGGAACTATTAATTAGATATGACATCTTAGCTTTATACATTTAGAATGCAGTTAGAATAAGTGCTAATTAAATGGCTCTCAATATTCATAAATAATCCTAAGAGTTACACTACAAAGCTTGTGCTCCGAGCTTCAATTATAAGATGATAGAATGTTTCCTCTTCCCAATTCCTCTTTCCAGAAGAGGATAAAGTTAACAAAAGGAGAATCTATGTTTCAGTTTTGCCCAATTCTTTTCTTGGCACCACACTCCCCTTTGTGACATAGGACATAGGCAGCAGAGCGTTTCTCAGGAAACTCCCAAACTTATTTTGTCTTTCTGCTCTTTTATGTCTACCTTACTGCATTCTCATTTTCCTCTACAAAAGTTGAAGGCAGCCAGCAAATATTCTCAACTGAGGTAACACAAGTTTAAATGTTACTGAAATTCAACTGAATATATATATATATATATATTTTTCCCCCCACAGGTACCAGTCATCTTTTATTAAGGTGTTCTCATTAGGGTATGAAAGGATTTAGCAATGGTCAAGTTCCTCATGGAGGGGCGCTGGGCCAAGGAGGTCATGGTCAGAGAGCAGAGTGCACCCTCCTCAGTGGTACTTGCGTAGCCGCTCATGTTTAAGCTCCTTGTAAGAAAGGCAGTAGCTGAAAAGTACATAAGCCGCCAGCACCATAGAAATCCCAGAGATGCTCCCTTTCTTCACGTTGATGTACTCGCTGTAGTAGCGGTGGTACCCTCTTTGAAATGTTCCAAGTATGCCATTAGGGGTGAAATCCCGCATCAATATCCAGCTTGGAAGCTCCCCTAGTTTAACATCCATGAGTTTCTTCTCCTTCACTGGTATGACCAAGGCCATCTTAGAGTCCTGGTGTCCGCTGTCAACTGAATATTTTTAGGACGATATGTACTTCAATTCTGAGAAACTGCAGTAACTTCAATGGTAAAATATTCACAGTGACTCCAAACTTTAAAAATCACCATTTCAAGATTCTTTCCCTTCTATGCTTTCTTTCTGCAGTCTCTTAGAACAATATGCACAAGCCATGGAGAACTTGGCATTTTTTAAAAAGTTACTTTCATCACATACACGGTACTTCAAATACAACTTATGCATTTTGGACAAACTTTGCTTAATGTTTTGGACTGCTTGAACCCCACCCTTTTCACCCCCCCCATCTTTTTGGTGGAGGGTTGGGGTCTCACTCTGTCACCCAGACTGGAGTACCGTGGCACGGTCATGGCTCACCACAGCCTCAGCCTGCTGGGCTCAGGTGATCCTTCTGACTCAGCTTTCCAAGTAGCTGAGTCTACAGGCAGATACCACTCCCAGTGATTTGCCCATTGGTTCGGCCCATCACTGCAACTGTTATATCTCTAATTTTGACTATTAAATTCTGGGTACCTTGTATTGTCAGAAATGAACTAAAAGTGGCTTCAAAACTAAATAGTTAAAATTGTTGATAACTATATTTGTATTAATATGGGCTGTTTAGTTTATATTATCACTGCTGTTAGAATCAACTAGACTGTTGAATAATGTGAACAGAGTTAAAGAATATTTTAACATTTGCTCTTTGTAGTTTAATAGTACATTTTGAAGAGAAGTTTTATTTGGCCTCAGCTGGTAATCATTATGACCACGTAACTAGATGAGCCCAGGCGGCCTCAGTCCATGCCCTCTATCCAGGGTGGTCTAGTCTTAACTGCATTTTTGAAATCATCACAGACACCTCTCTGGGAAAAGAGACTATTGACCTATTAGGTTACACGCTGCAGTTCTTTTAGCTCTTATTTGTTACTCATTAAATCTAATCCAAATTCTTCTAGTTGCAGTTCAAGAAAAGAAACCACTAGCAACATTCTAGGCAAAATAAATACTTTATTGTTTTAATTTTTGTTTTAGAAATCAGCCTTTGTGTGACATTTCAAACATTTAAACCCTTTAGATATTCTTTCAAAGAACACTGTTAGCATCTCAATGACTTTTGATTAAAATATCACACACAAAGAAACATAATAGGAGTTGAAAAATTATAAATGCTAAAAGAATAATTCCAATAACATTTGTTGTTACTTTACACATTTATTTAATACATATAAGACCAAATATGAAATCATTTTTGCTTTTCGTAAAAACAAATAGTTTTCACTAGTTAAAACTGAATTAAAATCATTTATGTATGAGAACAAATCTAATTACATCCATTTTGAGAAAACAAAACCCAGCTTATTCATTTCTATCCATTCAAGTCACAGGCCCCATTATGTGAATAATATTCTATTATTTAGTCTAAAAGAAAAAGAAATATCTCCTTATAATAAAGAAGGCTGAACAACGCAAAAAGTATATAGTGTTTAACATAAGGCATATTTTCAAAAGAAAAATACTACATAAGCTATGATAAAATTGCATTTGTCCTGGGTAAAGCAACAAGACTTACAGTGTAGAAACATTAAGTAGTTGTAGGGTAACCTCATATAATTCTATCCTACTGCTATTAGTAGTCTCCTCAAGAATTAAGAGTATTTTTACAACAGGACATTTTTTCTTCTTGGAAGTAACACTAATTAACAGCAGTGGAGGGAAAATCATTGGTTGCTTCAAGCTCTCAAAAAATGAATCAGTTATTGCACAGTAAATACCTCATAGAGGTCAGTGTTTTAAGAAGCTAGTCTGAAGAAATATGTTATTTATAAGTTGGATAAGTCTGGAAGTCTTCAAGTTTTATAATTAATTCTAATAGGGAATCAAATGAAAAATATTGACATACAAATAAATATTAGGCTTTTCAAACTGCTACAGTTTTGAGAGTTTAGAAAAGAAATAGCAATAAGCATAGAAGAAGATGCACATTTTACACTGCATACAGTAGCCCAGCAGCAAGTATCTTCTGAAGCACAAATAACACCTACACCAGTGTATATCACTGATAACTCCAATATGACACAATTAATAGGGTCCATGATAACCTTAAAAAAAAGAGAGAAGTCAACTGTAAACATCTTTCAAATACTATTATTAAACAGTTGTTTAAAAGAGGGATAAGAATTTTATTCAAATAGGTATACATGTAAACATAATCTTCTTGTGATCTCTACATACCTTTTCTGACAGTTCATTCTTTTATCACTGACTTTGGGGAAAATAATCCTATTAGCTGCTTTATGACATAGTTTATCAAAATATTTTTCCCATTTTTTACAGCTGAAATTATTTATGTATTACACTTTTCAAACTGTATTTTTGTTTCTTGTATTTCACTGAATAAATATTTTTATTTCTATTAAAGGTAATAGTCTATTGAACTGTATTACTCCTTTTTGCATTCACCAAGTACTACTAGTATTTTTAAAAATATAATTAGATCTATGCAGTAAAATAAAAGTATTTCATTTTAATAAATAAAATACATAAAAGGGACTTTTTAAAAAAATGAACTGTAAGTTGATTTATGGAATATATAAAGATAATTAGGAAAGATACTAAGATGCTGCAATTAATTCTCAAAATCTCATCCCATAAAACTACATCTGAGACACCATTATAATCAATGATATCACAAGAAGGTTCAGTTTTGAAGGTCCAATTCCAGGATTTATTTACTACAATGAAATTTAAGTAAAATGACCCAAGATAATTCTTAGGAGACTGTTATTATGGGACTTGACTGACTTACATTTAAAATAGGATTGTGTAAGGTTTTCATACTATAACATATACATTCTAAAAATCAAAATTTAGATATAGAACCAGACCTGTGTACTAAGAAAACAAAGAATTAAATACCCAGTGCTAATTTACATTTAGCTAAACAAATAAATTCAGACAAATTTACCTATAACTTCCATTTAATTACTGTCTTGCTTAGAATTAGATGCTTTACTTGAAGATACTGCTGCCAAAAGTCCACTTACAATTTCCCGTCTGATTTCCCCAACAATAGACTCTTTAATCTAGAATGGAAAAATTTTTAAAAGTAAGAATTTACCAATATGACGATAATCATTTTTTTTTCTGTTTTTGGAAAAAACAAAAGCATTTAATTCCTTAATTCCTGCAGTCAGCTCAACCACAGAGAAAACTACAACCCTCACATGAACCTCCATGTAGTAGAGTGGGAGTAGGGAATTGAGGCCATTTATCCTTAAACCCAGGCCAGGCTTAGAGGTCTGCTCTAGCATAACTCAGCTAGCTAGATGATAAAATATCACAATTTTTAGTAGAGAAGGTTAGAAAATGTTGTTTCATAGATTTAAAAACTTGCAGTAAATACTTTGCTTCATGACACAAAATAACCTGGAAGGATTGATTAGGCATTTTTTATTATCAACGACCTTTCAGAGGGAATCAGCAGGACACACAAGTGATCTCATTGCTAAAAAAACACATTAGTGGCAAAATAATACAGACATAATGCCTGTTTATAATAACTGAAAGTAAAATATCTAAAGAAGGGATGTATTGTTCTCACCTAACATGCACACTTTAAATGGAAAGATAAAATTATCATTCAGTACAATTTGTTTCAAAACATGAAAACCATCCTCAAAATAACCAGAGACGTTAAAAAAAAAAACTTTCTCTTTTGTTGCTTGGCACATTTGTCATCTGTCTAAAGCTTGTTTTTCAGATAAGGATATACATCTTCTTTCACTATTGGAAAATGCAAACAGACCCGAGGCAATAATAATTCCATCAGGATTTTCTCCTCCAGATGTCCAAACACTACATATTACTGTCCCTACCTTTTCTCTCTAATGACACATTATCACTTCTAAATAGCCCTTTTTGAAGGGTGTAAATGTGTATTTCCTTAAATAAACTGATAATGCCTTCCCAAATTAGAACTTGAGACACTCCCAAACAACTTTCAAAATCCTATGCTTTCAGTTTCTTATTAGCCAGATTGATCTATTTCCTAAAATGCTCCTAAGTACATCTTAAACACATTTTAACTGAAGGCTTTCCAAAAATGGACCTATATTAATCTGTCATGCAAAACTGGTATACAATACATAGATTTATACATGGTAATTCACAGAAACAATATGCTCCTTAGCTACCAAACATCTGCACCAGAATACATTTAAATAATATAAGCATTTCATTTTTACCTTTTATCAGTATTTCTAAACTTTAAGGAGCATCAAAAGTTTCTGAAGCTCATAGCACTTCAGATTCATTCTTTTACAACAAATATGTTAGATACAAATATTATAAAAACTAGAATCTCTTAGTCACAGTATATGAATACAAATACAATATACTGAATCAGAACTGTTGAAAATCTGTATTTACAAGACAATGAGTGTAGTCTTTTCAGCCCTGCTGTCAATGCAATATGGCAATTTTATTAAGTCTCATTATTCATCATCATTAAAAAAAAAACCAAACTGGCTCTAAAGTATTCTTTACAAACCAAAAACGTGCACAACCTTTTTTGGGAGCATAGGCATTATTGAAGTAAAGTATAAAACGATCTCTACCATCAAGCATGTTATAATCTAGATGGACACAAAATGAAAACTATTTCACAAGATATTAAAGGAAAATAATGCATTAATTCATTAATGACATAAGAACAGAATACATTTTGAAAAATCAGAGAATGGCAGATTTTACATAGTAGGTCATGAAAAAGAAAGAACAATTTCAGATGACAGTAGAGATAGAAAACTTTGTAGCAAGAGAGGAGTAGAATCAGGGAGTAGAATGGAGCCTAACAGACAAGGCAGTTCCTTCCAGGGAGTAGAAGGAAATGAGAATAGGAAGGGTGTGGTCAGATGGAAGATGTAGTGTGAGCTCCTTCAGGGAGGAGGTGAGGTCTCATTTATCAATGTATCCTAACATACACTAAAGACTCAATAAGTGTTTGAATGAATCAATCAATAAGAGTAATATAGCACGTGAGTGAGAGAGAGACAATATCAGACTCAATGAGGAAGAGAAAGCAGAGAAACAAAGGAATACAGACTAGCAACGAAAATGACAAAATATCTTTATTAATTTTTATTTTTTCTTATTTTTTTTGAGTTTGGAGTCTCAACTCTGTCGCCCAAGGTGGAGTGCAGTAGCACATTCACAGCTACTACAGCCTTGACCTTGTGGGGTTAGGCAATTCTTCCACCTCAGTCTTCCAAGTAGAGGAACTACTGGCATGCATGATCACACCCAGCTAGTTTTCTGATTTACTGTAGAGACGACGTCTTGCCAAGTTGCCCAGGTTGATCTCGAACCCCTGGGCTCAGGGAAGCCTCTTGCCTCCACCTCCCAAATTGCTGGGATACAGACATGAGCAACTGCGCCCAGTTAATAATATACTGAAGGAATAAATGCATGGATAAATAAATGTATACGAAGTCTCTTATGCTGTAGAAAGGCTGGAGGGATACTGGGATAATGCTAAAATTAATATCTTTATAAGCACAATTTCAGAAAAATGATATGGGTTGAATATAGACTGCTTGAGATTAAGAAAGAGAAGCTTATTAACTACACAAAAAGACTGACTGCAAGTCTAAGTGTGGGGCAACACATCTATTAACTATGCATCTTTGAGTGCCTACTGCATGGTGGCCATTATACCAAGTGATCATAAAAAGTTTCAATAAGAACACATGAGCAAGCTGTGTATTTGCCAAAATACAGGTTTAAAACATGTCAGATATACTCTAATAAAGATTCTAAAAGGCATGAACCAAGTCTATAAACTTCAATAAACAAAGAAGAGCTCTCCAAACACAAAGCAATCTGCGTTTACTCTTTTGACATTTACTTTTGCTGAATTTGCTTCTGCGGCCACATATTATTTATTCTATTATGTAATCGTTCTATGTCCACAGATATATACATTTTTAAAGTAGCTGTAAACAGTTTCAGGTCGCTGATCACATATACCACAGATGACTCGGGCATATTTAAGACAGTATAATTTTTTGCCACTACAATGTACACATTGTGTGAAGAAGAGTATTTTTAGTCTGACAAAAGTTTATTGTTACTAAATGAGTGTATTAAATGTTAAGTCTAAAAGAACTGTCTTTCAATGATCTCCTTCAAAAAAAGAATTCTGCTGTACTAATATATTATAAACTATGAAAAACACTCTTTTTAAAAGATCATTTATGGTGCAACAAAGGAAACAAAGTCCTGACAGACATTGTTTCACACACTCACAAATGCAATAAAAAAACTTCCCTGGAAGTGCCTGCCAAACATGCTTAATCCTCACCTACAAAACTGTTCTACCCAAGATTAAATCTTGTTTTCCTGAATGGAGGCTTTGTTAATGGGGCTACAGGCTCAGAATTTACTGGGAAGACAGAACCTTACTTAATTTTCTTGGTAGCTATACACTAAACTTAGAAAAGTTGGAATTCGGTACAATGTGTATTTAAGTAAAACGATGACCAATTTGAAATTAATGGAATAAAAACTAATCTGAGTTTTAAGTATGCAAAAGCAAACTTAAAAAAACCTGTAACTGAGCCACAAGTTATTTTTATAATAATAACTAGTATTGAACTAATTTATCTATTAGTATAAACTTTTAAATTACTTCAGAAATGTGTTTTCTACAGCAATATTCCTCTTGTATTTGTTTGATCTCTATGCATTTTGCTTGGTAAGCCCTTCTTTGTAGTCAGTAAAAAAGTAAATGTTAAACCCAACTTCCTCAAGCCTATGCCAAGTTCTGAACTTGAACTAAGTGGTTCCTAATTAATGGATTTAGTAACAAATTCTGAAAAAGTCTTCAAACATTTGCAGTTCACATGTCTGTAAGTTATAAAATCTTTCATATTTAACAGAAAGTGCTTGTAAGTGATTAAGTAATTCTCTAGGACCAAGGCAGCCCAACAGAAACTTCTCTCTCTGTTGTGTTCTATAGGCCAAAGAACCAATGCCCTGGTCTAAAGTGAAGGCCTTATTCCCAGGAAATTACTTACAGCACATATCAGGACATTACAACTTTAAAAAAGGAATCAAGCATTCATTAAGGTGAGTATTTATGCCAAATGAGCAGCATAAAGTTTTTCAGGAAAAATGTTCACACCAAAGCAAGCTAAGGGGAACAAAAATATCACATTTCTAGAAAAAAAAAAAAGTCACCTTAAAGCCTACTTCCTCAGTTTGCAGATGGAGTGTGGAGAAGTACAAACAATTACTTAGTTTCACTCAAAATTTAATCTTTCATATACAGCATGTAAACAGGAACAGATTACTAATTACAGGCACACCTGACTGAGTGGGTACACACACAGAGTTTGCTAAACATGAGCCTGCCACAACAAACTCACAAAAATAACTACATCTGAAAGACAAATTCATGTATAGAGTTAAGACCCTTTACACTTTTGGGTGATAGAGTCACATCACGAAAATAAATAACACACATGCAGCTTTCTGTTGTGATACTTGTACTGGAAATGTGAATTTGCTTCAATATGATTGAAACATCAGGAAACAACTAGCACATAATGCAAACGTCATGCCTGTTATGCACAATTTCAACCACAAGAAAGACTAAGTGAACACAAATACTGTGTTCCTCAGCTGAGCCTAGGAACACACTACACAGAATGCTCACACCTTAAATGTCTTCCAGCTATCTCAGGTCTCTGCTATGAGACACACCTATCCCCATGTGAGATTAAAACTTTCTGTCAAATTTCAAATCACTCTCCTTCCATCCCTTCACAATAACTCACAAGCTGCAATCCTTCCAAAGCCCCATTCCACAGACTTTTCCTCCCCCCAGGAAATGCACCATATTTACTGTAGTATTTATACATTTCTTAACCATTTGATGTGTACAAATGACCCTCCATATCCACAGGTTCTGGACTCAACCAACTGTAATCAAAAAAATCCAGAAAAAAAAAATAACAATTTAAAAATATGATGTGACAAATATTCATAGAATATTCACACTGTATTAGATACCATAAATAATCTAGAGATGATTTAAAGTATATGAGAGGATACTCACAAATTATATGCAAATACTACATAGGGATTTGAGCATCCGAGGATTTTGGTATCTGTGGAGGTACTAGGACCATTCCCACCTGGACACCAAGGGATGACTATATACAACTGTGCTATTATATTTATTAGGCTTCTATCTTGTCTTTTTATTATGTCACCGAGAAGTTTTGAGTATTATGCCTCTAATCCTATTTTCCCCATAAACCCCGTAGTTTTTATTGGATGAATTTGTGCAGCAGAGAATTTTCAAGAACACATATGAGTTATATTATATTATAGGAAAACTGACTATATTTATTTCTAATAAACTTCTCAATTTACCATCATGGAGCTATAAATGATGGTCCATTTAAAAAAGACTTTTAAAATGATAAATTCAATTCCTTCTTGTTACCTGATCTCAATGCTAAAAACAGTTATTTTACTTGTTTTCTCAACCACTGACCTTTCAGTACTTACTTTCATCAATTCTGATAATCCAGAACTGTGGTAACGCTTCAGGTTCTCATGATGATATCATTTAGAGCAAACCCTCTTTTCCTACTGTATTTTGATTTTGAACAACAAAATCAAACCAAGTCCACCAAATTCTTTATACTTATTAAAATCACAACATCATTTGCTCATGTCAATTGAAATTATAAAATGCAGCTTTCAATTCTGGAAGAGACCTAAATTGTTATCTCTCGTTTTATAGATGTGAAAACAGAAGGTCCAAAGTCACAAGTCTATCTATTTTGAGCCCTACACACACCTTTTTCACCATAGTGAATCTAGAGAACTGCACCTATTTTACACAAGTATGAAATCTGCAGAAATGCCATTACAAACATATCTTAATAGACATGAACTGGATCAAAGGAAAAGTTAATTTAAAAGCACTCTAAAACTTATTGAATATACTGAATCAGAAGAGTAGCTTATAAATAATTAATGTTCAAATAAAATCTCCTCTAACATATATCTGCCAAGTAAGTGAGTTAAGCATAGATTTTACCCACCTCCCGTATGACCTGCTGCAACTCATCTTGTTCCACATTTTTATGCATCTCCTCAGCAGCTGGCATTAATGAGAGTTTTCCAGGCCCTCCTTCCACTTCTGATTTAGGTCCTAAAACGTTGGGAGCTTCTTCAGCTGCTTCAGCTTCCTCAGAACTTTCCAATTCTGGAGGTGACTGCACAGAGCCAGTTCTAGAGGGAGCAGTTGGTGTCAGGGCCACTGACGCTCGGAAAACTTTCTTACTTGCTACTGACTGGATTTTGGGTTTGCTCACTGAGGCAGAAGGTACTGCAGTTCTCCTATTAGCATGAGAAGGACCAGAACACACAGAAGATGACTCTGATGTTGCTTGGGAAAACACAGATTCTGAGCTTTCTCCAGGAGGAATTTCAAATCCCATTTCTCCAAGTCCCAGGCCCAATTCAGACTTCAGGTATGACTGTTCCTGTATCAGTTCAGTGACCTGGAGATCAGACAAATTGTTATTCTTCTTCCTTGAAGTTAAGATTAGTAGTTAAAAAAGTTAAAATCTTAGTTGTGACTACTGCCAAAAATCACATAATTTGTAAAGACATAATTCTATGTCATTAGTTTAGTAACTACTCAGTTTCATTTTCAATAATAGCAGGCACATTTTAAATTCATAGTGAGATCGAGCAAGAAACCAGATAACTAGAATATATACTAGAGTGAAACTTTACTTGTTACCCCACAGGTGTCCAAATTACTTGTAAGAAAGAGCAACTAGTGAACAATAAAATAGTAACTCATAATTGAACAATAAAATAGTAACACATAATTCTTTTGCCTCTAAATGAGCCAATTTGTCTAAAGTATAGTAAAAATCAGATTTTTGTTAAAAAAGTAATCACCTTAGAGGTTTAGCTATTTTTTTTTCTTTTTTTTTTAATTTTAAAGATATGTATACAATTCATGGTTAGGTATACAAATGTTCATTATGCAGGTACCCCTTTTAATGAGGTGTGCCTTCCCCTTCCCCAGGTAGATTCCCACTACTGTCAATCCTGCTTCCCCGCCCCCCTTCTGGCAGTTTCCCACTACTGCCAATCATTCTCTTATAGTATTACAATAATTGTTCAAGGTCCACTAATGAGTGAGAACTATTTTTGAAAGAACCTGGGATCAGGTTGTTAAGGCACATTTCCCCTGAAATATAAATTAAATACTTTTTATGAATCATTATCTCTGTTAGGTCATAAAGATCAATCACTACTGCAATTATACCAGTTTTCTAGTGGCTTAAGATGGCAATGGACTTTCAGAAGTGATAAACTCACATCCAATCAATTTAACTATTACTTATCAAATTCTGCATTTTAAAAAAATGAACTTACATTTCATCTACACTAGGAAAACTGTGTGTTTATGAAATGTTGTATCATTCCCCTTCCCAGTGATTTAAAAAGAGAGAGGCTTACTGGTTCCATTATGTTCAATGGAGAAGGGCATGACAAGTTATCAGCGCTTCTACTGCCACACATTCCCTGAAAAGGTAAGAACAATATATATATTTATATTTATATGTATATGTACAGTTTTAGTTTTTCAAATTGCAGAGAGTTTTAGAATACAATTAATTGTCTAACTAGTGCCCTGAAGCATCCTTTCACGTCACAAAGGGCACACTCAAATGTCATGGACCCTACAAAATGTATTATTTTAACTGAAAACTGATAAAGTGCACAGAGGATGATCTGATTCTCTGCTGTCACCAACACACACTTCTCAGAATGACAATTCAAAACCATGTAAAAATAAACTCATGAATGCTACAGAATATTATTAAATCTATACTACACATACGTATGTGTGTATAAACACACACATGCTTATTCTACTTATTCTACTCCATATGTGCATATACATATATGTTTGTGTATTTTCATCCATGTATTTTTAACAAAATCAAATGTACTGTTGAAGTGACAGAAAAATTTACTATTTCAGCATTTCAAAGTAACATATTCTACAACTTCAAAGATACTGGCAAAAACAAGAGTGTAATTATTTAAGTTCAAATTTCATGAAAAGAAACTTTAGAAGAATAAAAAATAGTACAAAGTAAAGAGTGTTTCTTATTATTCTCTTGGTTGTATTTATGCCTCCTATCTACATGTCTCATTTGATTCCTTAAAAAATACAAAGAATGAAAAAAAAGTCAAAATAAAAACTTAAAAGGCAAGACAGTCAAGCTGCATTTGAAAGTAAAAAAAAACAAACATAAAAGGAAGTTATTTACATAAAGGCAAGAAAGGGGGGAAAAGACTGATTAAGACATATATCTGTGTTCTTTGTAGTTACATGCAGTGATTAAAATTTAAATTAGTCATATTTACACTTCACTATCATTATTCCTTTAAAAACTCTAAACTTTGGCATTAACACTTATTTTTTTCCTATTATTAAAAATTATTGTTAAAATTTTTCAACATATTTCTAAATATACTAACTTTAAGACAATTATTACCAATTGCACATTCAACTGACTTATGGGAAAACTCCTTAAGCAGCCTCCATGATTGTAATGCTATTAAAATAAATGAATTTAAATGAAGGCATGTATCCTAAATCATGTGCAACATTATACATCAATCCTTGGTGGACACCCCTACCACCCAAGGGCAGCATACCATGAGTGCAGAGGGGCGAAAGGGCAAAGGCCCGTGAGCCGCTCGCAGCTGCTCCTCCAGGCCCAGCAGGCGCTCCTCCAGCTGCAGCTCCAGGTCCTGAAGCTCCATTCGGACTGAGTTTCTCAAACCCTGGAGCTGATCAACTTCAAACCTATTGGTATGATGAGAGGCACAGTGTTTGAAAATCGCACTTTGGGAACTGATCGCTGCAAATCTTCCAACAACTACTCTAAGCTAACAGAAGGTACTGAGATCCCAGGTTGTACAAATTAGCACTATATCAACTACTGTAAATGTATCCACCAGAACATTGATCTTTCTTCCTCTGTCCTCTTTCACAAATATCCCCAAACTGAAACACAGGACACAGTCATCATATTCTTGAATACATTAAAAGCACAACTGTTTACTTAGTAAAACACTATACATGCTTGATTTCATCTACACTGGTTCACAAAATAGATACAAGGTGTACAGCTGTACAAATAACACCCAGTTTTAAAAAATGTAAGTCAAAAGACTTCTTTGAATGAAAAAGTTTTGAGTTATGTTAAGACAAAATGAAGTTTCACCTTTCCTCCTCAGTCATGTGATGGTAAACCATGGTTTGCTGACGCAGCATTGCCAATTCTAAGTCCATCATTTGTGTTCTGAACAAATTCAGGCTCCGCCTCATTACTTGGAGCTCCTGAAAAGTATTCTAAAATGCAATGTAACAAAATTATATTTCTGTATTATACAAATTATTTTGCAACACACAAAGACTTAAGTAAGAACTTACTTCATAAAGAGGTAGAACAGATGACTTCTGAGAACTATATGGAGCAGCAGCAAGATCAGGTCCTCTCATCATAGGGAACTTCAAAAAAGTAAAAGTAGGATTAAACAATAATGGTAAAGGGACTACTTCCAAATTATATAAGGTGTTAAAAAGAAGGAATTTTGAGCCAACATATTTTTCTCATTGAGACAAAAAAATACCTTTATACTGTAAGTAGGAACCAAAGAAATCAGTCTTCAATGATACTATTACTGCTAGCTGTTCCAGGTATAAGACAATCTATGGGGGGGGAGCAGTGAAACATGGATAGTTCGTATCTATTTCTTAAGAACTTCCCACTCAACTTGAGAAAATAGAAAAACAAAAACACAACTCAAAAAAGTAGAAGACATTGCAATTGCAAATGTTATCATGAAATGAAAGGTATTACTGAATTGGGTAGAGAAAGTGGCAGGTTTCTTAGACATGTGAGCATCTCCTACGTGCCACAATTTTAGGCAGTGAGAAAAAATGATAAAGGGTATTCCCAGGCTGTAGTGTTCTCACAGTGTAAGGAAGGAAAAAGCGAAGTTTGTTTTTTTAAAAATTAAGATATTGGGGGGAGGGAGGGCTATGATGGAAACAAACAAAAACAAAAACTGATTAGATGAACTTTCCCCAAAGTGGTAACGTTTGAGCTGAGTCTTCACGGTACACAGGACTTGGTTATACAAAGAGCGGCAAGGGCAGGGCAGTTCAGATTTAAAATGGGGGGGAGACATCCTGAAGGAAGAGACCACAGATAGAGCAGAAGAACAAGGAGGCCTAAAGAGCAAGGCACAGCATCAGGGTGCAAGTGGACAGGGCCCTGGCAATCTCCATTTCACCTAACTGGCTGAAAGGATGAACAGCTCAGTCACAGACAAAACTACACTCTGTGAGAAGGAACAAGAAACACCCACATTCTGGTTAGACTGAAAACCATTAGGAGACACTTGTCATGAGGATCAAAATCTATATTTAAAAGCATGTATATCTTATTTTAACTTGAAAAGTTACAACTTCGATCTTTACTTTCAAAGCAGCTTGCTCTCCATTTCATGATAAGAGATCTATTACATGCATTCTAGGCTTCTTGACCAAATGCTCTCACCATTACATTATATTGCCATATTCTTCAATTCCTCAGTTGTCTAAATACAAGTGAATTTAGAGGGAGATTTAGCAAGAAAATGAGAAAGGCAAACCTGAAGACAAAATTATTTTCAAAGCTTTTTTCTTTTGTTTAATTATTTCCAGTTCACTAACAATTCTAAGAGTGAAGACTTTAAAAGTGATAAGACTTATTATACAGAGCATTTTAAATCAAATTCACACTTTACCTGATTTTTTTCTGTTCTGGAGTAGTTCCAGTCTTTGAACCCAGTGGAAGTAGACTAATTCTGTGCCAGGAGACCAGCATCAGGGGTCAGTAGGTGAAGGGGAGAGCTTAGTCAGGGAGCTATGAGCAGAACCAGGAGAGACGGTGCCACAGAAGCCAACAGGGAGAAAACTTAGAAAAGGAAAAGGTGGTCAACACATTCAAATGGCAGAAAAGGAGAGAAAGAACTTTGAGAGAGATGGTTTTTTAATAATAGGGACAACTTGCAAAGATTCCAGGCTAAGAAAAACATAACGAAGGATAGGCTAAAAAAGGGAGGATACCTAATAAGTAAAATCTCTCCTCCAGGAAGGGAGGGAAATGATGAGCAGAGTAACTCTGTGTTCAGGATTAGTGCCAGCTTCTCCCTTGCAACAGGGGGAAGAGTATCAAAGGAGGGCAGATGCAAATCAGTTTAGACATGCCAGAAAAAAAAGCTGAGGTAGTTCACGCCTGATGAGTCTTAGCTTCTCACAGAGTTAAGAGGTGCTCAGAGCCATAAAAGAAAACAGGTAACAAATATATACTTTTTCCCATACCTGTGAAAGATTCTGCAGTGAGTTTCTAATATCATGCAAGACTCTTCGCAACTGCATTTCTATGGCAGAAGGAGGATTCATAGAGCACGCTCGGTAAGGGTAGGCGATATGTCTATGTGAGTAAGGACACCCAAAAGGCGACATGAAGGCACTGCAGGTGGCCCCTGATATGTTGGGAACACTGTGGGAGCTCAGAGTTCGTGCGTGCTCACAAAGGGGTCTTTCCTGCCACTCAGAATGGATGGAGTGAAGGGAGCAGGTGGACTGAGATATCGGTGCTGGTATACACTGTGAACAGGTAGGAGTCCTTCCATGGTGGCATTCCTCCAACCGTGTTACCTCACTCTGGGAGGTCTCTTCTTTCTTCACAGATGATGGAGAGATAAAAATAGTGGATTTAACCGAAGACTGACCATCATGCTCCATCACCCCCTTTTCCAATTCCTGCTCATCCTCGGGTGTGTACTTATAGGTGAAGGAGGGAGGGCTGCATCTGGTCTCTTTTCCTGGAGATAACCGAACATTAACAGAGGATACCACCCTCACTGGGCTCAATAAGGTGGTTGGTAAAGACTGAGACCTTCTGAGAGGATAGCCAGCTTTTCCAAGTAAGTACCTTTGTTTTAAAAGATCTTTTGATTTTATCAGGCTACGGCCTATTCTTTGATTAGATAGAGTGCAGACCTTCAGTTGAGCTCTCTGCAAAGCTGTATTCACTCTGTCCACAGAAGAGGGAGGCCCAGTTGTATTTTCTGAGTTCGTATCACTGCATTTAGCTTCAATAGAAGCCAAGGATTTCAGAATATGGTGTGTGGTATACTGAACAAATTCACATTCACTACTTTTATCCACATCACTTTCAGCACTTGCTTCCCTCAGTAGCTCTACTGTGTGTGCTGGAGACAAGTCCTCTTCCATTTCAGTAATTTTGGTAATGGGATCCCCCAGGAGACGGGTGGACTGTTCATTTCCTATAGTCTCAATAATCTCACAATGAGGGAAGTTCTGGCTATCTGACTTTCCTTTGTCAGCAGCAACACCTGTTGTTGTCTTCTCTCTTCCCCTCTGAAGAGGGGTGCGAGACTCTTCCTCTGATTCATTAAAATAAGGCAGGTCTTGTGCTGTTGGTGTGACAAGGTCTTCACCAAATGATGTGACTGTTGTTTCACTATCACAACTATCAGCACTACTCCCCATGGCTTGCAAGGACTCATGAACCTGTGGGAGAAAAACAGGTGGAAAGATGAAGAATGCAAGACATCATTAATAAAACACCAACTGATATGATACATCTATACTTTTACTGTCTCCCACCTAGCCAAGACCCTGGTACACTCAAAACTGTTTCTTACTGCCTCTGATCAGTAATCACAACTCCCTCCCCTTACTTTCTCACAAAAGTTATTTCAGACTTTTACTCACTTCCTAAAATTCCCTTTCCAACATCCTCCTCTTCTCCTTTCAACATGTGACACTGACTCATAGAAATGGACAGAAATTTGTTAACGTTCTTCCCAACAACACCTATAAACTTTCCTGTATCTCTCCCCATTATGTCTCCCTTCTCTCCATTCTGAAAGGAAACTGTACCTCTTGATTCAAAGCTAACTCTCCAACATGTGTTTCTGATCACATCCTCTCCAGGACCAGGGTACTTCTCCAGTTTCATCCCAGATTTTTCTGGATCAAACTCTCCTTTCATAGTTCCTTCCTTTACCTGAACAACTTCCCTAAGTCATTCCACGATCAAAAGACAAAAATACTTCTCACCCTTAATATCATCCTTATCTGAAAATCAGTCAACATTCCTTTCATCTTCTTCACCGCTGATTTACTCTCCAGTCATGCTTTTGCATCACATACTCCATCAGAACCACTCACTCCTCATCGATCTCCTGAGCACCAGAAGCTCATCTTCTTACTCCAATGGCCACAGGTTCCTTTCTGAAAGTCCCTCCTCCATCTCTCAATGTTCTACTTGGTCATTCTTTCCAAATGACCTTAGATAAGTCTCTTGTCTATTTACCCCTTAAATGCTATACTAAAGGCTCCCTGGGGGTTAGTTTTCTCATCCCAATTTTCTTTAAAATTTGCTTATAAATGTCTTAAATGTTTTTCGTGTACACTCTGTGCACTTAATATACAGACTGTAAGTTTCCTGAAAATAAAGACGTGTCTGTTTTCTGAGTAATCTAATACAGTCTAGCATAAAAGTCAATATAGCATTCAGCAATCTATGGCTCCATACTTGTCAGTTTTTAAATAAATAAGATATTGAAAGACAGTGATGGCAAAAATAAGAAAAATAACAGACCCAGCAGGTTAACAATCAAATAATCTCTGTTTCCTGGCAGTAAAAAAACTAAGGGGGAGAAAAAGCTTTAAAAAAATAGAGATAAGGCTGAGGCGAAAGGATCGCCGGAGCCCAGCAGGTCGAGGCTGCGGGGGCCGGGAACGGCCACTGCACTCCAGTCTGGCTCACAGAGTGAGGCTCCAACTCAAAAAAAAAAACAGAAATAGAAGAATGAATGAAACCTAAAGTTTGTAGTCAAATGCCTAGATAGCACCTATATCCTAAAAGTCTTATTCTTATTGTCATTTGAAAAATAACAATTAGACAGATCCAATCTTAGAACATATAGGTACTGAAAAGTCACCTAAGAATAAAGAAGTTAAACATAGTGGCTACTACAATAGAAAACTTTACCTGGAGGTGATTAAGGGATAGGCAGTCTGTCGAATCTTCAGCAAAACCACTACTATCAGAATGCTGACTCGCAGTACGTAACAGATGATCTATCAGGAAAAAGTTGTCATATAAAACTGCCAGGTAAGACTATGAAAGCAAGATATTTCCCAGTAGATATAAGATACCCAACACTGATTCCTTTTTAGAAAAGTATGCATTACATAGGCAAAACTGTGGCTTCAAAGCACAGGAGGTAACTCAAGTTCAAACAAAAAACTGAATCCAATCTCCTAACATAAATTCTCAGTATTCAGTAGTTGACTGAGCTCTAATTGTAATCTATTTTGGTACATCTAATAAATGCCTTATCCTTATAGGACAACTGGCTGAAATAACAGATGTTCTAACAAAAATAGAAGTCCCAAGGTAAACAATTCACATTATGTGAATATGTAAAGATATTTGGGAAGTGAAATTAGAAGTTCAAATGTACAAATACTTTGTAAAAATTTACATTATCTTCCTTATAAGAAAATAAAAATACAGTTAAGATCAATAAATTAAATACTTTGAAATTCAAGCATACTTTAATGTCTCTGATGTTTCAAACGATGCAAACCTGTTTAAGTTATAAAACAATTCTTTCATAACAATTACATGAAACTCAGTCAAATATATTAAACTAGCACATAATACTGATAAACTTATAAAATCTTTCTGTTTACTTTTCTGCCTTTAAACTCTAACTCCTGGTTAGTATAACCTAAAAAAAAATGTTTAACATAAGTAAAAAAGCCAGCTAAGAACAGCAAGCATGATCACTTTACATATACACTACCACCACCACAAAGAGATAGACTTTACAGCTACTACATTTACCATGGGAGAAGCTTCACAAGACAGTAAAGTTTCACAGAACTTCAAAAACAACAGGACAAATAAAGCTTGTTTAACAAAACCATATTTTGCTGAAACATGCAGCAAAAGAATCAGATAATATGATTGCATAAAATCAAAATCTATTGACATCCACTTGAGTTTAAAACATATCCCACTGTAGACTCAGTTTCCATGGAATAATTTTTCCCATTAAAAACTCAGAATAAGCCAGCCATGGTGGCTCATGCCTGTAATTTCAGCACTTTGGGAGATGGAGGCGAGAGGACTGTCTGAGCTCAGGGGTTTGAGACCAGCCTGGGCAACTTGACGAGACCTCGTCTCTACAATAAATCAAAAAAATTAGCTGAGTGTGGTGGTGTATGCCTGTGGTTCCAGCTACTTGGAAGGCTGAGGCAAAAGGATTGCCTGAGTCCAGCAGGTTGAGGCTGCAGTGGCTGTGAGCATGCCACTGCACTCCAACCTGGGCGACACAGTGAGATTCCAACTCAAAAAAAAAACAACAAAAAAAAAACTTAGAATAATTCTGTAATAATGTTTTGATATTAACAAAACTGCATAATTAAATATAAGGAATTACTCTCTACCCTTGATAAGTAAAAGTAAACTGGATAACCGTAAAACCTAATTGCAATACATCAGTACTAAGTAGGCATTACATTAAATGACATTAATTGATACAATTAACAGCTTATGTTACAGCAGTTATCACTATCATCATGTATTTGCATGTCTTTTTGTAAAAACTAGATAGTAAGCCTTCTGAAGCAGGAAACTTATTCTTTGTATCCCAGTACCTAGAATAAGCAGATAATAAATAATGCTTGCTGAATGAATCAATGACAACAATTTCCTTAAAGCAACAAAAGAATTAAGCAGTCACTTCAATGATTTAGAAGTGAAACTGCCTATCTGTAAAAATTACATAGGCAAAACTGTGGCTACTACTGCGCAAAGGGTAACTGGCTGAGATCCCAAGGAAGCCAGAGTGAGCAGCTCTGACTTGGGTTCTCTCTGCTAAGACCTGTCCTATGTGCCACAGAGTGCAGTCTGCACTGAGGTCACCTCACAGTTGAGGCCTGTCTGCGTTCACATAAGCTAGGACATAATGTAGACTGCTTAGAATTCTCAGCAGTTGTTGGGCAGTGGGAAGAGCAAGAAAGCCTGCATTCAAGTTTCTGCTGTGTGTCATCCCTGCAAATAATAGCTTCTCTCCTCTGTAAAATGGGATGACAATAAATAATTATTCTATCTGCCTCACTCTTCAAAAATTCAGTAAAATATAAGTGAAACTATTATGTAAAGTAAAAATCACAATCTAGGCCCTTTAGTCAGACATTTGTTTCCAAACAGTTCTCAACAGAAAAAAGTGGAAATAAAAAGGATTAGATTTCTGTCCTGAAGATACATGACTTCTAATTAATAACTAGGAAGTTTTTCTGAACTTCTTAGTCCAAAAATGAGAAAAATCTGGAAAACTTGTCTAGCATTGTGAAACAAAAAAGAACAACTGTATATTTTCTGCTAGACTAATGAAAATATTGTAAGTCTTCAACAAGAAAAGTGTTGGACTTCTCTCAACAGATCTACCTAATGTTAGCTTGTAACAAAAATTAAGTCACTAAACTTCTCTGGGCTTCAATATGTAAATCTTGAACTGGATTTCAGGTAAGATAATTTTAACCTCAAAAGTCCTACTACTAAATGTTTATATGTCTTTTAATAAACTTTTAAAGTAATATACTATCAATGATTCTAACTGCAGTTATCATCAAGTTAAGATACTTACATAGCACATCAACAAAACTGAATAGGCTGCCTTCCAAAATGACTAAAGCATAATATTGTTCTCTCTTCTCTCTCATGCAAACATAACACATACAAAACCATTTTACTGTTAAATCTTTAAAAATCTGATTGATAAAAGGAAAAAAATCCCAGATATGAATACAAACCACATTCCACCATTTCTCCTACAGGGAGTTTGCTCTTAGAACATCTTATTTTTGTTTTAAATCATCCTTTTTACACATGCCATGCTGCTTTTTCCAACATATCCTCCTTGAAGGCCATGAACTCAGCTCAGAAACACATAAATAAATTTATGAAAGTACAAGGAGAAGAAAATTAAAGTTCATTTTGAGTCTGACCAGAACTGCAGTGAGAGTAGAGCTTTTGTTTCTTAATATCATATTGCAATAAAAGAAAAAATACATGCAAATTGTCTCTTATGAAGAAATTTCAGAGATCAGGAGGGAACAAACATGTAATTTCCTATTCTAGGAACATACATATGAATCTATGTTTAAAGAAAAACAAGGTGGTTCAGCATGTGTAAAGTTTTAAAAATAAACAGTCCTACCTTCAGTGGTCATTTTAACTTCTTCCTTCCTTCCTTTTTCTACATTCCAAAAGCTTTGTAAAGATTTTTTTTCTTGTTTGCAAGTTAAAAGTGAAAGGAATGGTTTCAAAAGTTCTTTGGTCAATAATTAATAACTCAAGAGAGGAACGATATCTACAGTCACTCACCTTTGACCCATAGTTTAAAATTAATTTAACTAGGTTTAACTACTGCTGAGAGACTAGTGGTTTTTTGCCAGAGGCATATTCAGGTATTATAGCTAGGCACTATATTTAAATAATGAAACCCCAGATACAGAGAATACAAGTATATTTTTCAATCATAACAATGTAAAGGTAGTCATAATCTGTTGTTCTTTCTATCACTTCTCATCTACTCCTAACACAGAACTGAAAAACATTTAGAACACACAAAAATGTGTAATGGAGTCATTCCAGGATACTCAAACTAACTAGTTTATGAGTTCAAAAGTCTTCAAGAAAATACAAAATATTACACAAAGAATAATGAAGCATACCTACCTGAGTTCCTGATTTGTTATATTTATAGGTACTATAAATACTGACACATAAAACCCCTTTTCCAAATCGGCTAACACCACTTTGGTCACGTGCTGGAGAACTAGGGGATACTGGTCAACTTACCTCGCTTCGACTTTGTAAGACCCAGCTGATAAGTGGCTGGAATGTGAGGCGCTTCTCCCTCCGTACTTTGTACCTAAAGAAGAGTTTTGAGTAATTAAAACTAAAACTCTATGGCAAAGAACCTCTTGATAGCCATCTATTAAACAAATCAACCTAACTCAAATGCACCAAAGTATTACATATATTTAAAGACATCCTACCTCAAAATTACTGAGATGCACCACAACTCAATTTTCTGATCTATTTTCCAGTTAACAATAGTACTCAAGTTTGTATCTAGCAAAGAAAAATAATTACATGTATAACCCACTTCATTAAAAAAAAGTTACTCTTAGATTTAAAAAAATAGTTCTATAATTCGTCTCTAAATGTTAAACTTCAAAGTAGGGTCAATCCCAGGATAAATGCTACTATACTCACTGAAGCACACCATGACCAATGCATTATCAAGGCAATAACAAGTCTTGTATCTTTGAAAAAAGAACCCTGTGTTCCCATAACAAAATATTCCAAATTCCCCTAAATTTTCAGGTAAGAACTGATCATGTGTAAGACTGCTTTGTGCTGATACAAACGTTCTTTCAAGACATAAGCTGAGGAGCTCTAGTGGAAAAGCAGGTTTCATTACAAAACTAAAATACTGAAAGATCTTAACTACAAATCCTACCTAAAAAGTCTGTTCAAAGAAGGTATCAAACCTACAAAAGTTGTTGTTTTGTGCTGTCTTTTTTCTCTACCTATACCACCTCTATCCCACAAATACTTTTTCTATTCTAACATAACTCTATATCAAGATTCAACATGTGGAAGGGGAAAGGAAGGCAGAGGTATACTAATTTCCACCATTTTACCCTGGGATGATTACTACTTAAATAATAAATAACATCCTAAGGGACAAACCAGCCAAACGTATAGGTGTTTGACCTTAAACAAACCAGAAAGCAAATAGCAAGCAGGATTTAAGTAAAACTAGTAGTTTTGAGCTATGAATCTATTCAAGAATAATAAATATTCCATAGGAATAAGAGTACCAATATTTTTAAAAGCCCCCAAATTAAGGATATTAACCAATTAAAATTTGCTCTGATTTGTAATATCTTTGTTCTATAAAGTTCAATGAACCCCTTTTATAAATCTTTTGAAAACCAAAAGCACAATGCCCATTTAAAACCATCACCTGTAAATCAGATATGTAAAACAGATTCTACTATTCTTTGTTATTATTTTAAAATTATAATATATTCTTCAAAGTGGCAGACACATGTTTAACAGGAAAACCATTGTTTTGTGTGCAAGGGAACAATATGCATTTTCTTTTTATATTCAACAAAAGGCCTATTATTAGCTTCAACTTCTATTCAGGCCCAATCTACTTCAAAGAATTTTCTGTAAAGTAAATGTCAACTATATCAAAAAACTGTTAACAGAAACCCAAATGCCTCTCTCTTTTAACATACTAGGCATCTTAGCTTTGCAAAACACAGCATTATGATATACCAAGTTATAAATGCTCACTTTTAAATGTAGAATTATCACATTCTACTTCCTTCGACTTATAAATTAATCACAAAATAACATGAGCTTATATAAACATGTATCTTCAGTGCACTATGCTTCAAAATGCTACTCTATGGCAAAAATATATCTATTCTCCCCTCTCACTAAAAATGACATAACTAATTGCAAGAAAGGAGCACTTAAACTAATAAAAGCTAAGAGGGTTATATTTTACTAACAAAACTACCAAAGTCCAGATTATTCTTCTCACTTAGAAAAATCATAGTACCCACTTGCTATAGAGAGAAACACACACGCCAGTGATCATAGGTAAATTTCTTATCTTACCATATTTTATTAGTGGACACAATTGTGCGAAAGAAAGCAATCAAATTTGAGATGGAGTACACCACAGATAATTAAAATGAATACAGAGCGTAGATACATGTTGCAGGATTTTTCTCTGTTCAATGGTTTCAAATGCTCAGTAGGACTCTGGTCATTTGCTATAGGAATGGTCATATAAAACCAATTGAAGGCTGGGCACACACAGTGGCTCATACCTGTAATCCCAGCACTCTGGAAGGCTGAGGTAGGAGGACAGCTTGAGCCCAGGAGTTAAAGACCAACATGGAAAATATAGTGAGACCTTGTATCTACAAAAAATAAAAAAACAAGCCAGGCATGGTGGCATGCACCTGTTGCACCTGTACTCCTAGCTATTTGAGGGGCTACAGCAAAAGAATGGACTGAGTCCAGGAAGTCAAGTCTCTGGTAAGCTGTCATCGGGCCACTGTACTCCAGCTTGGCCGACAGAGTGAGACTGTCTCAAAAAAAAAAAAAAAAAAAAATTAAGTATCAGCTGGGCACAGGGGCTCTTGACTGTAATCCCAGCACTTGGGGAGGCTGATGCAGGAGGATTACTTGGGTCCCAGAGTTCAAGACCAGCCTGGGCAACATAGTGAGATCTCATCTCTACAAAACAAAACAAAGCAAAAACAACAACAACAACAAAAAACCCAAGTTGAGTGATGGGTAATGGGTGTTCATCATATTATTTTCTCTAATTTTGGGGTAAGTTTAAACTTTTCATAATAAAACTGGAAAAAGAAACCCATTAAACCAAAATGATAAAATCACTTGGTCTCAGTGTTTTAGGATCTAAAGATGTTTGAAGACAGCTTTAAAGTAACTTACACATTTGAATAACTTCATTTAAAAAATGCTCTCATAAAATAAAAAATATCTTTTTGAATTCATGTCCTGCCAACATGCACCCACCTTAGTTTCTTATCGGCTGTCATGTTTACTTGACTAAGCTACATCTTCTAAGCACAATATTGTGTCCTACACAACAGCAATACATGGATGTTCTAACTCAAATACCCCTCCTTCTCTGTGGTTTAAAGAGACACGGAGCAGCCCTTGTCATTGTGTATAGACATTGCATAAAGAAATAATTTTCAAAGAAAATTAAAACTAGAGATTTAGAAATTAAAATTCTGCCTACTTTTTAATGACATCTCAAAAAAATCCAAAGAAACACATTACTTTTCCAAATCAGTACTAGGGTGCTATGCATCAGATGATTGAGTTCTTGTCCAATGCCTATTCCCATCAACAAATCTGGCCTTTAACAGGCAGTATGGTACAGTTAAATGTTACCTGGATTAAAGTCTTATTCGTGCTACTGACTAAATGGCTTCTGACAATCACCTGTGATAATAATTTCAGTTTTCTTAACTACAAAATAAAGATTAAGACCCCTATCTCACAGGTTCTTAGGGTAACCAAATGTGACTATATGTACTTTGAAATAGTAAAGTAGGAAAGATGTACAACCAGAGATCCCCCTGACATTCTCCACTGATAACCCCGCCTGTCCTCCCTTATAAAGCACTAATATCACAGGGAATATTACATCCCTCAGAAAGATGGTAAAGAACCACCACTATAGAGTAATATCAAATAGTGAGGGTTGGAGGTTGCTTCCTCTTCTGTAAAGGAAGAACACTAGAAAATAAATGAAAAGATCTCTTTCCATACTAGTTTATAATTCTGTAATTATTTGCGAATTTTCATCTAAGAAAATACTCTCAAGTTTTACTTACACACACACACGGTTTATATTTAATGTCAGATAAATATTTTTTTGAAAAAAATTGACTTAGGTCTTTCAGATAACTATCAAATAACAAAACTCAGTGGTTAACTAGGCTTTGAAATAACAGATATCTATGTATATGTCATGTGTTAGAGTTCATATTCTAGCACAGACATATCTTTAAGAAACATACAGTTAAGTTTGGAAGGCCAAAGGAACAACTTAACTATCTTTCAAATATCTAATTGATTTGGGATCATTTTAACTTAGGGTTCCCTGACACAACAGCTAAAAATAAGTAGTTAGGTATATTAGTCAAATCAGTAATTAGTACAAAGACAGGATTGGAAACAGTTACTAAAACTTTAGTAACTAAAAGCAGAATACATATATATCCAATAATGGATATAGTTAACTATAAATTCATTTATGGAATAAACCACAACTAACTGTTTACAGAAATACAGAGATAAAAACTTTCCTTCCTCTAACACGTAAGAATAAGAATTTTTTTCTTTACACCTAAAAGATGAATAACTGCTTGAGTAGGATCATTTGGTTTTAATTTTTGAGTCATTCATGTTACTAAGCTATGCCTTCAGAAGGTTAGCATGATGTATTCAAAATAGGCCATTCAAGAATAGATGAATTATCCAAGCAAACTATTAAGGATTAGAAGATTCAAGAGTAGGGGTTCTATAACTTTTAGATACACTGTAACATTTTAAGTAGTTTACAAGATAATTTTATTAGGTAAGCTGACCTTTAGTTGAAAATATTCTCTGGCCTTTTTTTTTTTTTTATGTAAGAAATAGCCACTTTCATTCTCCTAGGTTCAGATCAGTCCTGTCATCTGTTTAGCTCTTTTTCCATTTAAATATTTCCTCTCTTTGCTTCTGGTGACTGTCAGATCTTACCTCCTGCCTCAGAGGGCTGGGCAGCTTCCTGTACAGCTATCACGTCGGCAACACTTTCTCTCACCTAACTCCTCAAAGGAGCTGGTGTTCAGATCACCTGAGAGTAGCGTACTGAGAGAAAGAGAGATCTAACTTATATTTACTCACTCTTTTCACAGGAAGTTCTCAAGAGGAACCAAACCTAAATGAAAGGGTTTGTCCAAAAGAAAAAATAGTAACAAACCACTTTGAATGGGATCTAAAAATCTGCTTCAGTAAGATTGTTCTCTTAATTTGTCAATATGATTCAAATGCTTGGGAGAAGAGGAAATTAGAGCAACACATTATTTCCCTTCTTTATTCATTGTTATACAAGCTCTCTTTAAAGTTCCCCAAGGGATAAAAACACAATTCTAGAAGGTTTTCATCCATATCTTAAATATATCTGAAGAACAAGAATTAATTATACTTCAAATTCCCCACATTTACAATGTAGCTATAGCTGATCACATATTCTTTTTTTGAAAACAAAAATCGTCCATTATTCTTCAACCACCAATGCATGTAATCTTATACTTCAAAAAAAAGCTTACCTCAATGCCACATTTCTTCATTAACTGTTTTTAACCAGCAGAGGGGGCACAAAATATAGCCTATCATTAAATGGTGACTTACTACAAAAGGGATAAATGTTTAAAAGAACTTTTGTGTACAGTATCTTAAAAATCAAAACACATATATACACACAAGCTGTAGCTTAGAATTCAGGAATTCTAGGAATTAAAAATAAATTTCTTTGACTTATTTGAAAATACACATGAGTGTTATTCAATCTGAGTCAATAGTGTCACGTCTGCAATTACCTAGCAAAATTTGTGTAGAGTTTTACATTCTGCTGTTGCATTAAAACAAGGAAACTGACTGTCATATCTAATTGTCCTAGAAGAGGGACCCTAATGGAAGGCAAGAACCGAACACGTTAATTCTGACTGCTAGAACAAGTTTATACCAAAACAAATGTAAGAAGGAATCAAAGAGTAAAACAGAACAAAGAGATTTTAATGTAGTCATCATAGTCATCTTCCATACTCATGATGATGAAAAACAAGTTATATCAGGAATTAAATAGAATAAATATAGATATATAAATAAATAAAAGGAAAAAAAGCTTATAAGAAAATGTAAAATATACCAAAAGGCTACTCCTGCTGCCTTTTATTTCACTTTTCAGTTGTAATTAAGGGACTAAAAGATTACAACAAAGAGATAAAAACCTAAATTGGCAATTGAAATTTTGATATAAATGAAAAATCCTCACTAATGTGAGAAAGACACTCACATAAGGGGACATTTATGGGCTAAATCATGTATCCCATTTTCCAGTTCCCTAAAATAATAACATGTGATGCTAAAACTACTGCAAACTATTACTAAAACCAATCTTCTGTAATGAATTTTAAAAAGAAAAATTGTACATTATATAATTTATAGCCACAACTCTTCACCAGCACAGATATGCCTCATTTCCTTGTTTGTAAAATGAGACCACCACTACGTGCCTCACAGACTGGGATAAAGTCCTTCAAGGGACAAGAACAGTGCCTACAAGGGTAGATGCTTGATAAACTTCAGTTTCCTGCTCCAAGCTACATAGCTCCAACTCGTATCAGCTCCTACTATTTAAAAGCAGCTCTAGCTGAATCTCATCAAAATGAGTAGCTGCTTCTTGTTCAATTCAAAATTTGTGTTAACTAGCAGGAATATCACTGGTAAAAATTTAAAGCAACCAACAGTAGTCTTCTGGGCTTGCGGAAACCCCTATTTAGTTGCCTTTCAAACCTCCTTCGAGGTTCCTTCTCCCCTGCTTCAGGTATGTAATACCTTCACGTTCTTTCCAGTCACATACCAACACCCATCCTCAAAGCCTCCTTCACGCTTATCCTTATCTCTGAGATGTTATGAAAAGCTTGCCCCCAAAGGCACACAACAATTCAGTGGCAGAGACAGAACACAAGCTCCTGTTTGATTCTAAAGTCTGTGTTTTTTACTATTATGTAATATAGATTTGGATTTTAATATACTCTCTCAGGGCTTTCTTGAGCACTAAAATCTTACCCTTGAGAGAGAAAAAGGGGTTAAGGTTCAAGTATCAGCTAGCAAAATGACAAAAGATCTGGTGAAACTGATAAACTATCCTATTACCTTGACATCACACACCTGTGACCAATTCTTGGTTTGTAAAACATAAACCTGGAAGTCAAAATTAGGATGAATTTTTCTAATATAACTCTATTAGCTACCTCTCATTTATAAATATTTTTGGTACTTTTTTATTCCTAGTTCATTATTTGAAACTGGTAGCAGTAATTTTTACTTACCTCTTCCATTTCAAAGGAGTCCTTCTGCTGTGTCATTATGTTTCTTATGGATGGGATTGTCAGTGCTGCACATGGTTCTTTTTCAGGTGTGGACATATGGACAATTTTCAGCTCATTGTTATTTTCCAGCTCACTGTGGCTGGACATGTTGAAATCACTATCTAAATCAGATCTTATAATACCAGATTCCTCACTTAGCTTACTCTCATTACTTTGAGTTTCCTTACTTTGTTCACTTTCAGTTTCTTGGTTAAAATTACTATTTGTGTCACCAGAAAGTCTATCAGTATCAACATTCTCCATAACATTTGCTGAACTACCTGAGACTTCTTCTTTAACTGTAGCCAACATAGAAGATGACTCTTTCTTCTTTATAATTTTTTGAGACTTTTGATCATTTTTATTGCTACTTTCTTCAATCACTGAAACATTTAGAATCTTTCCTTTTTCAGCTGCTAAGGAAGGACTACTACCTTCTCCTTTCTCTGTTTTATCAACACACAAATTTAGTTTTGATAATGTTTTCATTAAGCGATTTGCAGTGTTACTTCGAGTTAAAGGTGGAGGTGAGTCTGTCTCCTTGTTAGAGGTCACTGAGGACATACTTCCAATTCTTTGCAGGGGAGTCCCAGAGACTTGAGAATATAAAGAAGAAAATGCATTGGCCACAGTAGTAAGCACTTCAATTTGACGAAAACGACCTACCAAAAAAAATATTAAGTATACATAAGTTTACATATGTATACATATATTAAATAAATGTATATCATTGTTTAAAACTGTAATAACTATACTTAGATCATGAAGATTGTAAAAACTTTTCCTTATCTAACACTTAAACCTCTACATTTACTGGGTGGGAAGAAGGAGAAATTTTTACTCTAAACACTAGAATTTACCTATTTTAAAAAATCAGAAATAAGCACAAAGCATGATGACAACACTCAGAAAAACTAGCTCTTGCTCTACAGCTGTAATTCTATTTTTAAGTCTTGAATTCCTTTAAGACTGTTCCAAATGCTCTCCTAAGAAAATGTACACAAATACATACCTTATAACTAATTTGTGGGTGAGGAATTTATAAATTTCTTAAAAATAACTCATGAACAATCCAGGGAATCTTATTTTTTGGAACCTCTGGTCAACAACAACAACAAAAACCAAAGATATAATATGGGTAAAAATGATCAAAATAGCCATGCTCTTTTATATTTATAGAAAAGTACCTGAAGCCAGGCTCAGTGGCTCAACCTGTAATCCCACACTTTGGGAGGCTGAGGTGGGTGAAATGCCTGAGCCCGCGGGTTCGAGACCCGCCTGGGCAACTTGGTGAGACCTCATCTCTACAATAAATAAAAAAATCAGCTGGGCATGGTAGCGCGCGCCTGTAATTCCAGCTACTCGGAAGGCTGAGGCAGAAGGATCACCGGAACCCAGTGGGTTGAGGTTGCCACTGCACTCCAGTCTGGGTGACAGAGTGAAAGTGAGACTCCAACTCAAAAAAAAAAAAGCATCTGAAATTGACTGATGTCATTTAAAGTTAACAAGGCCCCTCCCTATCTCCCCTATTTCTTTTCTTCTTGAACAAATAAGGTTCTGCAAGCAAGCTATAGTAACAATTAACTGAGAGAAAATTGGGGAGGAGGGGAATAGTTAACAATTGTAAATAGAATAAAAATTCAGAATAAATAGCCTTTGTGTTAATTAACCTCATTAATTGGCTTTCCAGTGCTATACTTGAAAATCAGTAAAGCTTTAAAAAATAAGATCATCTTGCTATGGATGCTATAATTTAAAAAATTATATGCTAACACTTAAAAACACCTTACTTGTTAAAGCATAATTTGGGTTTTCTACTTCCATCCGTTGCATCTGAGCACTCAAAAATACTTTAATATCTATCCCTCTGGCAAATGATGACGAATTAAAAAATCTGGAAGGAATTTTAGAAGCAATATCTGGTTCGTCACGTCCAAATCCAAGATTATAAAGAATTTCTTCAGGATCTTCCTCATAGAGTTCCAACAATTCTGAAACACTGCCCAAAAAAAAAGAAAAGAAAAAGAAACATGAAAATATAAATTGACAACCCACATCACATTATAAAAGAATACACATTCTTGCTCTCCTGTGATACTCTTTTTCTCAGCTCCTGCTCTATAAACCATCAATTCACCATCTTCATAATTGTGCACTAAAGGAATAAATAGCCCTTAGGAAGGATTCATTCTTTCAAATTGCTAGTGTTGAAAAAAGAGCTAATCCCAAAGGATACATTCAATCAGAGACTCTCTAAGTGATTCTTCACCTTATTTTTTTTGGCATTTTAAGAGATTACCAGCAAAGCAGCTGAGATAACTAGAGGACAGATGAGGAAGAATAAAAAATTAACAGATTAAGGAAGAAATGAAAAGGGACTGAGGGACATTCTGTGAAACTTGAGCTTTGTGCTCTCCTTGTCCTAGGAAGAAGCAACTGTCCTAGGAAGGATGATATAGGTAACAACCTGGTTTCAGAAAAGTGAGGGAGGAGCTTCCTTTCAACTCTGCTCTAACCACTTCCACTCAGGAAGTAGGAGGAGTAAGGTAAGGGGAGTATGGGCTACACGAGAGTAACTATTTACCCTCATTCTACTAGGAATTAAACATTTATTATTTATTATTCCTCCCCCTCACACCAGTGAGAATCCAAGCTTTCTAAGACTCACTGAAGAAAATACAAAAGTTAGAGATGAAATTTAAACCAAAGGACATTTCAATTTCAGAGGAAATGCTCAGATTCCAATACAACAATTTGGATAACAGTTTAATCTGAATTCATAGGCCTAAGTATTGACTTGTTTTAATATATTGTATATTTTAAAGATCTTTGGTTTAATATGCTAAAAATAAATTTATCGGCCGGGCACAGTGGCTCAAGTCTGTAATCCCAGCACTTTGGGAGGTCAAGATGAGAGGACTGCCTGGACTCTGGGGTTCAAGACCAGCCTGGGCAACTTGGTGAGACCTCGTCTCTACAGTAAATAAAAAAATAAACCAAGCATGGTAGCGTGCACCTGTAGTTCCAGCTACTTGGAAGGCTGAGGCGGAAGGATTTATGCCTAAATATCAAGCTGCAACCTTAGAAAGATTTATTTTTATTTTAGTGTCACAGTTAAGTCCCTAACAGAGTGGACAATTTTGGATCTCTACAAATGTAAGTTATTCCATTAAGGAATTCCTATTTCAGTTTGTTGACAGGGCTCTAAATACTCATTTATGGATTCCAACAAACATAATGAACCTATTTACTGTTTTTTATTTAATCTCAACAAAAAAAAATAGAAGTTCCTGCCAATTGTGCTGGTCCAGGAAACACTTTGTGTTCCTTCTGATTTTATACTATCAAGCTCAAATACAAGGCTGAAAAAATTATATGAGTAGGTCATCTATAACATAATGTAATGCCACCATAATTTCAGAATAGATTACCTTGAGACTGTTCCACTACTTTTGCCAGATCCAGTGGAATTCATACTTCTCCCTTTCTGATGAAACTGTAGCCTTCTCTCTTTGGCCAAGATATTATTGCTGTAAACACAATAAGATTATATAAGACTTTATTTTCATTCATGTTCTTCATCTTTAAAAAGAATACAACAAAACAGCTACATACCAGTTTTCAATTTGAGCATCACTTTCGTGGAGGTGGTTGGCTACAAGTAAAACAATAAATGTAGAGCACAATTGTTAATAAGACTGTAACTACTATGGCACAAGTATCAAGAAAGCAAATTACCTATGATAATATAGTTAAATGCCTAATATGTTAAAGTCTTCTCATGTTTCACTAAATTTGATTACAAGTAATACACAGATAAGAAAAGGACCAATAGTTTTGAAGGATGTTTTTGTGTTTTGGTAATGTAAAACTAATTCCACTTTAGTGATTAAGATAAAAATAACGATAAACAAATTTATTTAACAGGTTAGAAATAAGTGATAAGGAGGATATGTAGCACATATGTGGTACTAATTATTAAATTTAAAAACTACTAGTGATGAATACCTTAAGAGTAAAGCACCATTTAACATTATTTAAGTGTAGAAATAGCATACATCAATTTCTAACATGGATTTTTAAAGCTTGTAACTCATTTTTCATGCATGTAACTTGAAAACTTCTACACATTTCAACAACTTTTCTTTTAAAAAATTGCCTTTCGGGGAAACCCCTTCAGGTCCCCTCCCACTGTGGGAGCTTCTCTGTCCTCTCAATAAATCCTGCTTACTCAAAAAAAAAAAAAAAATTTGCCTTTCAACTTTACCTGTGATTAACCTAAAATTTTAAACAGAAGCATTGTTAATATTTAGAGTTAAATTTACTGCATTTTACCTTTATGGACAAATGTAAAGAATAAAATTAATTTAAAACATATCTATTTCAGCACACATTTTTTTTTCATTTCCAATCTCCAAAGTCATGACAATTTTGTAAGTCTTTCTGTATCCACCATAAAGGTAGTTACCACAGAGAGCACTCAGTAAATATTTACTTAATGAATGAAAATAACTTTGAAATAATTTTCAGAAAAACAACATAATAGTCTCACTCTTTTATGAGACTCCTTTTTAGGTTCTGGTTTCCAATAAAAATCATTCAATATTAAGAAACTACCAAAGCAGATATCAAAAGTGCTACTTACAATAATACTGAAGTACATTTCAATAAGGGATGGACACAACATTGTTCTACTGTACCGACTGGGAAGCAATAAGTTTAAGTTCCTTACTGAATCTATTTCTTGAAAATATATTGACAGAAATAATAAAAATGAATATATTCCCATATTCTAGAGTTTTAAGTGTTGGAAGGTTCTAAATAAGTAATCTATCTTATATTAAATTAAGTGTACACATTCAGTATTCATCAACATAACAAGCTTTAAAGATTTTTTTTTTTTAAAGAAGGATTTATTGAGAAGACAGAAAAGTTCCCTCAGTCAGAGGGGACCTGAAGGGGTTGCACAAGTTTTAAAGATTTAATAAAATTCTTAATTTTTAAAAAAAATATACATTAATAACCAAACTATTCAGCTACCAATAACCTCTTCAACGTGATCAATGAGCTATAAAATAGCTCTTAAAATAAAACTAATTTTAAAATTCTTAATTTTATGTTCTAGAAAGTTTTATGAAGAATCCACTGGAAAATAATATATAACCTGTAAAAATTTAAAGACACAACACACTTTCAAAATGCTAATGCAGTCTGGAATAGACAACAGCATAATGATTTCTAATTAAGTTCTACTAACGCTGATATTTTGTCTTTGTCCTTTCATCTTCTAAAAATCAGGAAAAAGAGGAAGGGGAAAAGACAGGAGACACAAATGCAAAGAGAACGACAAGCTGCAGCTGTAAGTATGACATAGTCTACTTCACACTAAAAATAAGCTTCAATTTCGTTTTGTCATGTATAAATATTTAAGTTTCCTTCCTTCTTCAGAACAATTCTTCCCTCAGTTATATTACTGTGGTTCGTCACAAGCAGTTCCTTTAAGCATTTAAGTCCAAGGAAGACAGATGGACATTTCACAATGGTTTTTCAGAGTCATCCCTACATGTATCCTACAGGCTATGACTAGATTATTAACATATAAAAACAAAGTATTGTGAAATGTGTCAGAGCCATTCTCAAGACCTTTACATTTAGTTCTGAAGACCACAATTAAAAGCACTCCACCTTCTCATTTTTTTAAATGTGAAAACTACATAAAAATACAGTTCTCTCAAACAAGCATACCTTCAGCTCCCAATGATAAATCATCTTCAAAGCTTCCTCCATTTCTCACAAGCACACCTGAAAGAAAACATGTAAACATTCAGAAAATTCACCCTGATATTCTGTTCTTGCCGTCTTCCATATAAAATTGTTGTTTTAGTTAAAACTAACTGATCAAGCAAAATATTTTATAAGATACAGTAATATGTTTCAGAACTGAATATACTCAGAAATTATTCTGTTATATAATTTCAAGAAGCAAGTAAAAGCTTTTACTTTATTATAAAGAAACCATGTTTGCAGTCATGCAAAGTTCTTAGAAGCCCATCTACAAGCTACTCTATACTTATTATATCTTTGAAGATGTTCAACCAGACAACATCTTACCCAAGACTCTCATGGAAAACCAGATCCTGGAGCAATTCTTCTTAGCTACCTCATATTAAGTCAGAACTCAAAAGCTTGATTTTCCCGACACTATAAATGTTTTTATATACCTTGCCACTACCTGCACATGCTTGCTGTACGTTGAACTTTAGAATTCTGTCTTGCACAGGTAGTAAGATTTCAAGTGGCAATTTCAGTTAAGGAAAGCAAAAGAAATGCTGCACTAAAGTTGACTCAACTTCAATTCGGTCGATATATATTTTCCTCATATTTGCATATCATATTTCTATATTTAATTAGTCTTTATAATGTCTAACTGGACAATAAAAATGTAAGTTTCACATTACAGAAAGATCTGGCAATGTGCTTAAACTCGTCACTGTTTTATGGTTTATAACAGGGTTTCTTCCTTTGGATTTCTAGCTCAAAACAGCTTATTTTATAAACATAAACTTTTATAATTCATGTGTGCACTTCCACCCAGAGGACAAAGAAATAGGACTGTCAAAAAGAACAGATTTAGAAAGACAACTTTCTCTTACCCTTGAGTGTACTGTTGCTTTGTTCATCCAGTGAGGCTCCCAAAGGTGTACTGAAACAATATAAACATATAAGCCTTGTGATAAGCTGTCTGGAGAGTTGTCACTACACAGCCTTACTTTGAGAGTTAGAGCTAAGCAAGCTTCTAATCACAGTTTAACTTTCCTCCCAAAACACATATGGAATGCAAGTGGATTACATAAGTAATCTTCTCCTAACTAAGCAAATACCTATCATCAAGTCAGTCCACCAGGAATGATTTAATCACTCATCTGATCTGCCAGCAATTGAGAGCAAGAATGGCAATTACAAACGATATTAATTGGCATTTTCTTTGCAAAAACTAAAAAAGAAAAGTAAAATAGGCATTGAGAAAATGCCTGTTCCTCTTAATCCCTTTCATCAAAAAGAAAACAGAATTAGAAAAAAACAAATTCTTAGTAGTAGATAACTTAACCTTCATAAAACTAAAGAGTTGAGACACTAGTTAAAAATGAGGCTCAACGGTGTGCCTAACCTCATCTGGTAACCTCTCATTAGCATTTCAGAGAACCACCTATACCTTCCCTAACCCAGCAACTATCTTTTTATACATAAGTAGAGAAGATTAAGATTCATTTTGTTTTTAAGCTAATATATATATATAAAATGAATCTTAATCTTCATATATATGTGATATATATGAATATATATATATTCTTTATTTAACTGTGAAAGCTACTAAAAAGTTTGCTTAGGAATCAACATTAAGACCAGTCATTGCTAAAATGTTTTCATATTCTTGTAATGCAAATACAGATGACTTAGAAATTTATTTTTTCAAATACAAAAATACTTTTAATTCTCTCAAAACGAAGTTAGAGTAAGAAACACATTATATTATTTTGAGAGTTCTGTTTGGTGACACAAATCTTTCTTCAGTAACAATTTATACCTGTTAAAAATTTACATCAAACATAGGCCCAATCATGAAAATATTAGTTTCAAAGAAATGTTACTGAAATGCCAAATAAATGTTAAAATTTTCTGTAAGCAAATACACAAGCAGTGGCAGTTCTTTTACATTTTTGAAATGTAAAAGAATCACGAGCAATTGCCATAAAGATAGTAATAAAGTCTTTAAGCTAAGTTTTTGTATATATTTAAATAAAATTCTCACTTATGCTTTTAAAAAGCTCTTCTTCTTCCCCCGTGGCTATTTCTTTAGGCCTAAATACTGTATTACTTTGTCCACAGATGACTCTAATGGTCTGTACACTAACAGAAAATAGCAAATAAATAGAATATAACTGGCATTCTCCTTCAGAAACAAATTTCTCACCCTTATAGTTACTCCCTTCAAAATTCTATCAAATTCTCTATCCCTTAAGTGCCAATTCAAGCCATTTGCTTCCACGTAGCAATAATAATAATAATAATAATAATAATAAAATTGTTATCAGAATAAAGATTCCCTTTAAGGAAAGAAAACATGATGTCTTTATTCAGGATATGGACAGCAATAAGAAAGTAAATATCTGAGAACTTATCAAGGGGGAAAATGCTACCTTCAGGTCATTTGCAAATAATATACAAAATACATACACGCCCAACTCTGAGAAGAAACCTACATTGTTGTTTTCTAAAAATACAGTTGTAACATATTCTAGCAGTTGAATCTGTGATAATATAGTCAACATTAATACTACTGTACTTGTTCTAGCTTTCTGGCTCACAAATGAATGTTGCTTTTGTATAGAATATGTGCAATTGTAGAGAACAAGAAGGAAACCTAAGAGAGAAGGAGCAAGAGACTACAGATGGCGTCCACATAAATCAGTATTAGCAGCAGTCCTGGAATTTTCAGGGATGACCGTGTCCTGGTCAAAGTTAACTTTTGCCTATTGCATTTGTCGTAAAAGATGCCTTTATCTACTGTCTACTTGATACAATTTCTTACACAATCTTAATTCCTATACATTATAAATATGTGATTCTTCTCTTGCTCTTAATTTTTTAAAAATTATTTTGAATAACACTTGAATTTAAATAAAACACTAAATTTATTCTGAACGCTAAGCCTATTTTAAGATATCCAGAGTAAGCCAATACTGTACTTAGGACTGTATTTAAGTCAAGAGTCAGACTAAAGGTTTTAAAAGTTCTGAGTAAAGCTAACTAAACATCCTCTTCAGACACATTTCTAAGAGAAAACTGAAAGATATTGGTTTCACAAGATATCTCCTAAAAGGTTCTGAAGATGCATATTTAAAATTTCAACCCTCTAGATTTTACACTATTTTGGCATTTAACAATTGAATGAACCAGTAGCACATTAACGTAATTTATTGATTCATGTTCTGAATGGAACCAGTTAATATCTAAGGCTAATCTGAAAATCAGGGGTTGAACTAGAGCTAAATTGTTTATCTGGGGACCAAGGACTCCAAGCCGTATATTTGCTGTATGCATCTTTAAAGAGAAGTTCCATATATTTTATGGTATTGCAGAAGGATCTATGGCACTCCCCAATAAAGGGTAAGAGTTCTGTTGTGAAGCATGTTCAGTAAGGCTCCATTCAGGCAATTCATCAGAATAGGGCACTTTATAGTGGTAGCCAATATTCTGTCTGTCTTTTGGGGGGAAAAAAAAACTTGCATATATAAGAATCACTTTCCAAAAACAAACAAAAAACTTCCCTAACTCTAATACTTGAACAAAACATTATGAAAAGTCTAAATTGAGAAGGCAAAATATGCTCAGAAGCAAACAGTGACAAAGTTTTAAAGCTACATTCTTCACACAAGCTTCTACAGCTAGCAAATAAATTGGAAAAAAATTAAAATATGAAACAAGTACACTTTACTGTAGTCAGATCTACTTGCAATATGATTCATCTCCTCAGTATTTTATCAAACATTTTTGTACCAGTTGCCAAAGCATTCAATTAAACAGATTTATGCAGTCTGAATGCCTTCAAAGCTCAATGTCCTTTCTGAGAATTCCAGTGCCATCTGACAAGTCCATGACCAAGAAGTAAACTACAAGTACAAAGTTAGATAGTTTTAATAGCTCTTCAAATAGAACAGACAGAAGTAAAATTAAAGCCCAATTAGTGTAGTTAAGTACATTAAAATCGTCTAAAACACATCTGAAAGGAAAATGATTCGACGCCAGTTGTACAGATGCCAAAACAAAAGCAAATAAAAATATCCTGTGAAATGTGAGAATTCTTTCAAGCAAAAACAGAACACACATACTACGGCAAGACTATCTCTTTTAAATTTCTGCCCTCTGAGGCTAACTCACTCCAAGCAAGGGCAGCTGAAGTCCTAACAACTGTTAAGTCAACACAGTCACCCAATAATCGGCGGTCACAGTACTTCCATTTCTAATCGCTCAAAGGAGGAAGCTATCTGCCGGCTTGCTTTCCGGTTTCCAGCTCACGACCGCCGCGGGACCCACAGGGACGCGGCCCGGGCGTCCCATCTGCACGGATCTCCTCCAGGGCACGGGTGACGCGAGAGGGACTCACCGGCAGTCCTTGAGCCATATCGCGATCTTCTCGTTGGGCACGTTTCCTGCGGGGCAGAGCGAGGGGACAGTTCGTTACCCACCCCAGGGAGACTCCGACGGCGGGGTCACCCTGGACGCTCCCCAGTGAGAAAATCCACTGGGGGCAAACATGCAGCCTAAGCAACAGGTCGTAGCGTCCGTGAGAAGGGGAATCAGACGGCACCCAGGTGTCTGTGAGGACGCTGGAGACGCCTCGCCAAGCGCGCGCGTTTAAAGGTCGGAAGTGTCCCCTCTCCCCCAGGCCTCCCGGCCCCCGAGGCTCTCCCAGACTTGCTGAGGCGCCCAGAGCGCACGAGACTTCCCGGCCGCCTCCTCCCCGCCCGGCCGCGCGCACCCACCTCTCCCCGCGGCCGCCGGCAGTTTCGCGCCCGGGAGGTCCTCTTCGTCGTCCTCGTCCTCGTCCTGCGTCGTCGCTTCTGTGGACAGATCCTCTGTCTCCGACGCCTGCCAGGAGCTGCGGCACTTGGCCCAGGCCTTCCTCCGGCGACTCGCCACTTGCCACTCCAGTTCCTCCTCCGCCTCCGCCGACGCCGCCAGGGGCCGGTCCATGGCCGCGCCGGGGGCTCCGCTGCCGCGGCCGGAGCCTGCGCGAGACACGGCAGCAGCGGCGGGGACCCCCGCCCTTGCTGTCAGCGCCCGGCCGGGCAGGGG